ATACGTGAACGATCCGTTTTTTGTTTGCACAGTTCGGGGTGGTGGATACGAATCGCTACCGCCTCGGCTGTGCAAAGCATAATCTGCCGCAATTGTTTGGTCAGATTAATCGGGGTTCTGTAAATGACCTTAAATGACCTTTCAAAATCTACCGTATGCCCCGTGTTGATAAGATGTTCCACAATTGAGATACGAATGGCCTTTGACAGTCCTTTTGACTATATCTGCAGCTCACCATGATGCCACCTGAATTAGCGCTGTTTTTCGCCCTCTTAGACGGAGTTTGAGAGCTATCCGGAGTAAATGAGATTATATGGCATGACAATAGTGATAATGCACTGAGTGAGTTCAAATCATTTTAAAGTACACCCTGGGGACGCATTGCTGAATATTACAGTTGTTGTGCGTAAGACAAAAAGAAACACTGCCTTGAATGGGACCGCATGTGGTTTGAGGTGCCACGGGAAAATAAAAGTTGTTCATGTATGTGCTTTAAATAGATATGTCTAGAAAAGACTGACTTATGGTCTGAAATCCGTCCTTACAAAACTTAAAAAGAATAATGATTATGCTACATTCTCTGAAAGTGAAATCAGGTTAACCAGTTCCAAAGGAAAACAAGACTCGTGCAGAGTTTGAAGAGTTCACGCCTTATTTGGGACAATCACATCATTCGTAACTCTGTAAAATACGATTTTGTAGTTTTAGAAAGCTTCGTGATGAGAATAGAAATAATTTCATCTCCGTCATTCGCTTACTTGCCGGTTAAACAGTTGTTCTTTATTGTCAATATATATATGTATATATGTATATATATATAGGATGGAATGTGGAGTCCACTGAACATCTCAATTTTTTCCTCGACTCTACTTTCATCCTTGCTTTCTTTCTCCTACTGTTCCTCCAAATGGGCAGCCAACAAACAGCAACCAACACCAGCGCACGAAAGGGTATGGTTGATGATTGTTCTAACTGAAACTGCAACATGTAATGTTGGCTGTGCATTAGTCGAATAGGCAATTATCGGACTTGGATTGGCTTTTTTCATATAGCCGTTGATCGACAGTGCGTTTCAAAATGACAGAGGAACGATCTATTTGATTCTGCGTTTTCAACGACTTCGGGTTTATTCTGGTTCACTTGATTGAATTTCCAATTTTGCTTCGCAATTTTGACTGCTATGTACAGTGCGATTGCTCCATCGTTTTCGATCGTCTCGTCCCTCTCACCCGTGAACTTAAGCAAGTAAATTCTTTCTGACCCCTAATGCGATCTGATTGGATCAGATTCCACAGAATGGAAAACATGTGGAACATCTTTCATGAAATGAATATAATTATTCCCGTAATAGTTGTTCTTTCTTTCTTTTGGAATTCTATCTCCGAGGTAGTTAGCCAGATCGTTCAATGCAAAAGCAACCAGTTGGAAAGATATCAAGAAGAGTTTTGCGTGGGACTACAGTAGGGGATATTGTCGTCCGTTATTAAGACAAGTTCAAAGTTTTATTATCATTACCCGTTTACCGAACCCGCTTCGAAAAATAGTGCGTGTATCTCAGACGAGTTAAGCGTTGGCCCAGTGTCATAATCGCTTACGCATTTTCCATTCGGAATTTCCCACATGGCGCACCGCTCCACAACTGATTTTCTTGGGGTGATTCTCTACCAACGCAGGCTGCATCGGATTCGGAACCTATCCTGCTCCTGTGCCGGCCTGAAAATCACACGACCGATCGGGTTCATTTATCGATCGGTCGAATGATCCAGCCGCACCAAGGGACCTGGTGCTTGCCCAGCTAACCCGAGCGAGAAACCACACCTTTTTACAGCTGTATCTGGCAGGCCCAGTGAACTTCGACTGTATAGCAGGATTGCCATCAACAGTCGGATGGATTGGACGTAACAAGAGCATTACAAAACGTACAAGCCGGTAATCAGATAGTCTTGTGTTGGAGTGAGAGATTTTAGGCGCCGCAGACAGCGCAATATTATCCAATCAGATCGCATTAGGGGTCAGAGAGAATTTACTTGCTTAAGTTCACGGGTGAGAGGGACGAGACGATCGAAAACGATGGAGCAATCGCACTGTAATGTACATTCTCCAGAGGAGAATTGGAATTGCAATTTGACTACTATAAACATTCAAGTAGTTCGATTATAAATGACAATATCAACTGACTGCGGTGCTACACTGAATATTTAATACCAAATGAAAGATTACCAAAATTGAACGATTGTCTCTTCAGTAAGTTCTTAATACTGTTCTGTTTTTCTGCGTTTATCCCTGTACAGTTCTATTTTGATTTGACTGTATCAAAATTCTACACGTCATTCTGTACCGCCACGTTTGAAATTGTCTATTCTAGTGAAAGCAAAGATGCAACCATTTTTGAATTTAGTGAATCGTGTGCATGTCTCACTGGACCCTTTTGGTTCATGGTTGCTTTTTGTATTTTCCTGTCTTTCAGGTGACTGGAATCCCCCTCCACGGAGAACCTACTGCGAGGAGTGTATCCTACCTGTACATTGAGAACGTCAGTTAGTGGCCAGGAATTGTTCGGCCTTTTGGAACACCGCTAGCGTTGCAAGATCTCGGACCGTGTTGTCCGGAGGCAACGTCCTTCCAGTGTGTTTCGACTGGGTTCAGATCTGGGGTCGTTCCCTGCATATTACACTGTTTTAACGCTTGGCAAACGCACCAGTAATATTTTATCTTGAGTGCTTGTATCTCACTGGAACTTTTCGCTTTATGGCGTTTTGTTTGCTTTCCCTTGCAGGTTAAACTTCAAACCCGACCCAAGGAGGACCTGTCTGCCGGTGTTTCCTCGCTCATCCGTGTCCCGCATCCGTACCACCGTTCCACGCCGTCGTTCGTCGCTCGTTACCCACAAAGTCTCGTATCGTCTCCATGTGTGAGAAGCGTCCAACACTGCGCACTGCAAGTCAGATAGGTGAACCGGAGTGAACGATCATGAAGTTCACGTGATACTTGGATCTGAACTGTTTGTCTAGATAAAATGCGTTTTTTCATAGTCTGTTACTTAATATAGAAAAATAAATTGTCTGTGTTATATAAAGAAATTTATTAAATGCAGATCAGATGAACAATTCACTGTCAAGCTCGGAATCACTCCGTTGTAGACCAGCTTTGATCTAACCGAGTGTGATCCCGTTTCAGTCTGTTTGTAGTCTATCCTTGCGTTCACCCTTGTCTTGAGCCGAGTCATCCCTGTTGTCGAGAGTTCGAATAGGTTTACTTACCCGAACCTCGAACAATATTGCTCACTGTACATGCGGTTCACCGTGTCACGCAGGAACCTTATTCATTCAAGCATATACCATTTTGACGTTCCAAAAGTCTTTGGTTTTCCTATTGCTGTTCTACCAACTGGAGACTTGACAAGCTTTTTTACATCAATTTTATACTTCTTCATTGTTTCACTGTATTAAAGTGATTTTGAAATCTCTGACCCGTTTGGCAAAAGGGGGGAGTCGGGGGTCGGGGACACTTTGTGATCTATAAGAAAAATGTCCAGGCAAACGAAAGATACCAAACACTCAGGTGAATTTACAGGGTTTTCCTTTAAACTTTTGTAGTGGAAACACGACAGATAAGGATGAAAAAGTGGTACTTACCCTCCATCATCACAATACTACAATATGTGAAACTATTGCAATAATCCGTCAAAAATAACCAGGTTGATGAATATCTATTCGGTCTCTCAGGTACACGAGAGTTGAAGCTTTTTACACCGAGAAGCTATCCACAAGAACATTTGTCTATGGGATGTCACCTCAGTAGACGGCGAAGCTTGTCAGTTTCGTCGGATCACCATCCAGGTGTTCGCATCGAAAAGAATCCAAATTCTTGGGATGAGTTCAATCCCATCAATTACACCTGGCGAACGAGTCGTAAAACATTTCATGTTTGATGGCTTATGAGGACAGCTGACCATCAGTGGAACGAAAGGTCAATAAACAGTGCATGTCACCGGTCAAATGACAAATGTTTTTTTTGCTGCGGGGGGATAGAAAGTATACATTCCCGGTACCTATTCCTGATGTATAATTTCGCATCCCGAGATTGTATGGTCACTGCTTTCATTTTTTTCATTTCAATAGACGGATATAGGTCACATGGTTCCGCAACTGTCCGAACCAAGCCATGGTTACCACACAGCGTAATTCAGCACTGGGACCCTTTGGTCTTTCACCAATCACAGTGAAACAAATCCGATGTTTTTACGTGAACCAAGTATCTTGCCCACGTTTAGAGGGCTAGACGGTGAACATTCAGGGTAATTGTTTCGATTATTCGGCAGTCAAGATCTTTATGTGTGTCGGGAAAAAGTATTGCAGACTCCTCTGTTTCACTCGCCCATTGATGTATGATCAAACTACAATGTGGTCAGATTGAAATCCGGTGATGAAATCACCTTCCTGTAATCTGGGATGTGAATTTCCCCCTGTTATCAAAATCTAAATTTTATTTAAATATTGATAAATATTAAAATGGAGTGGCATGATAAAGTTACCTTGGAACCGAGATTGTCAGTCACTCATGTCAACTCATGTCAATGCATATCGCATAGAAATAGTCTGCAAATGATAACAGTACATTCCTTACACACAATACTAATTGGATCAATTCACTCTCGTTCTTATTCAGCTACTCATATTTATTTCAGTAAGATTAGTTAGTTCCGTGAATTATGAGTTTGGATACACACAGGACATCCGGTTGAGATGACTGGTGGAGAACAAACCATTGGACAACATGCAAATCTCCTTCAATCTAAGCGAACTTATAATAAATTCAATTTCCATCGAGGTTCTATTTTTTCCAGACATATTCAGCAACAGAAATTTAATGAATAAACAATGGTGAACTCAACATACAAAGAGGGGGAGGAGGATGTTGGGAGTTTCCGTCTGCCAAGTTTTGCTTATATATCATGGCGGGTACAACCACCTGTGCAAAGCGATAGATGCTGTTCTTCATTAATGATTGTTTGACCGTTTCCGGTGGTAGAAGAAGTAGTAACCACCGGCTCCACCAGCAGCCACCAGGCACAACACCGCCACGGTCACACCCGCAATCATACCCGATGCCGTCTGGACCTCAGTAGCCTGTTGCAATTCTTCAATGGTCGGTAAGCGAGGTCGGTTGGAGGCGCGACAAAACTCTCTACAATCATTCAGCTTCGTGGAATCCAAATGTCGATCCGAACAAATCAGATTGCAACGACATAGACTATCCGCATTCGGACATCGGCCATCCTGCGTCAACCAGGCTGTTGTTTCATGCGGTCTGCCTCCAAGCGTGTGATTCCAGTACACTTCCCACATTCCATTACCGCCATCATCTTTCACAGTGAATTGATCCAGCAATTTTGCGAGCGACCGTGGAGAACAGTCGGACAATTGGTAAGCTTCTTGGGCCGAATATTCCAATTCCCACTGCGGGTGTTGCTGTCCCAGATTGAGCCAAAATTGACGATAATTCAAGATTTGTCCCGTCTTACGACTGTATTTGTACTGACGAATACGAGGATTGTTTGTTCCAACGCCCGGAATCGATTTCGGATTCATGGATGGCGTCAAAAAGATTGAACTGACCGGGTGATCTGTGCAGAGTAGAAAAATAATGATTTCAAGCAAAGAGAGCATAAAGTACTGTGAACTTAGATCAGTTGGTAGATAAAGGCACGTAAATATGACCGGTCGTATCCAGTCAGTGTTGGAAGTTATGGGACAACGGTAGGTATACAACTTCCTCTTACTGGTCCATCATGAAGAGTGCTAATAGAGCAATCGTTTAGTAATTGGAACACAAATTTGAGCCTGACTGTTTAGTTTACTTTGGCGCCCGGATTATTTTTACCAAAATTTATCCTTGTGTTACGTTTTACCGCGTTCTGCCTAAAGGCGGATCTGATCCCGGGATATCTCGGCTGACAGCTTTCGGTGTGCGAGATTTAGAGACGACGGTGATATCACTGATGATCATTATCCAATCGTGATTGTCGGTGACTGGAACTGGTAAATCGAGGGTCTGTGTCGATGTATCTCACGTTTCACTTGAGTGTGGTCACTGACATGTTTTAGGCTGTCCATAACAGGATAACGGGAATACGATATGCAAATTTTGTCCTCGAGACGAGTCAGATTCTTCTGCCTGAGCATGTACACGTATTCCTAGCACAATTATGAACTGCGGAAGTGGAGAGGGGTAAAGCAAGGTAATGTCTGATTCAAACGCTTTTAAACGTCTCGGCAGGAAATTGATGTGACTTATCTCGTTTCCATTTCACCTGTTCTCCGAGATTGGCTATTTGTTTACAAACGTTTCATTATCAGCCGAGGTGACATCATCAGTGCTTGTAAAGTGGCAGTGTTGTGCTTGCGCCCCTTTGTTCATATATACGGCCTTCTCAACCAAATATTTTTGTCCCTTGTTCTCACTGTGTTCGACTCGGTTCCCCGTTAAGCTGCTGCAAGGGGGTGAGAGTGAGAGAACAGGGGGTTGTCCTTCCGCTCTGATTGCGGCTTCAGGCACAAGCACAACACTGTCACTTCACCAGGACTCATGATNTGCACTGATTATGTCACCTCGGCTGTTGATGAAACGTTTGCAAACAAATTTTCAAGCTCAGCGAACAGGTAAAATGGAATTCAGTTCACCCGAGCTACGAGAACTCATTTTCAATACTTTGTCAACTTAGCTCATTTATTGAGCAGTTTCATCGTTGAGTGGAGAGAGGTCACTGATTTGAACCTATCGAGACCGAAATTGAGGGTTTCTCCCCACGGGCACAAGTTGGTTATCCAATTCTAGTCACCACTGCATTAGTGAGTGTTATTAATTCAGTTCTACTCAATAAATGGTTCAGGGCAAAAATATTAACATTCTTGCTCGTTTCATTCTTTGCGCTGTAAATGAAATAACACCTGAGAGGTAACAGTGAATACTGGTTCAATCACCAATTACTCATTCCAGTTCTTGATCGCTTCATTGTCCGAATAACGTTGATCCACATCTGGATAAGGTTGAAATATCCACAGCGGAAAAGCAAATTATTATGCTAACTGCGAATCTGTGAATACAGAGGATTATAGTTATTCAAACCGTCACCATTACCGTTACCATTACGCCGATAGTTTCGATTCCTCTAATAAATTCTACTTGATCACTATCATCATCATCATCATCATCCGAGTCATCATCATCATCATCATCATCATCATCATCATCATCATCATCATCATCATCATCATCATCAAACTTGTGTTGCTCAGCTGGAACAAATAAGCAGTCATTCTCTGAGAACGAGGTGCTTGCTGTAAGTTTATCTTCAATTTGCCGGTGGAGACCAAACAGCTGAAGTTTTGCCCCAAGGAAAATACTCCTGCTAACAATTTATCCAAATTTATATCAGACACATTGTGCACGAATCCTGTTTCGGTTCGATTGTATCAAGCTCTGTACGAAATTGGTGCCGACCGATACTGGTGCGTAATTCTTCAATTTCTGTATCAAATCAATCATCCAACTCAGTTCTGGACGATTCTGTGATGGAGTCGTGCAAACATTTCTAACACTTTGATTCATCAGCAAGCGCTCAACAAACATGGTTCTATACGCAATCATACCATGGAGTTAGAAAGAGGCTAGTGATTTCACTGCATACTCCTGAAAACCTCCCAATGGATGAAATGCAGATTTTCGAAGATTACGCTTAATAGATTGGGTTCAGAAAGTGGAGCATGAGAGTGCCTTCTCAAACTCACTGAGTGAGACTACAACGAATCCAAACAGGTTTGCCCACCACTGTTCTTATGTAAAAGTAGGAAAATCGTTGGTTGACAGCGGGGCCAAAGATCTTCTGTTCAGGGGGGAAAATTAAGCTGTCAAAAACATAGAGGTCGAGTTGGAAACGTTATTTCGCTGATGAAGCAACTAATACACCTTCATAACTTTTTATAATGTGCACTATATGAATGACTGAACAAACCTTCTCAGAGTCATACGACCGGTTTCACAGTCCTTGCCGCTAGTCAGGTAAGGGTATCCGGTAATTTTCTGTCTGGTTGTACTTATTATTGAACTGGCGATGTGATTTATGCAATGCCAAACTCTTTTGCAGTTCGGGCCCCAGCGTCCCGATGGCTAAGTTTAGATGTACCTAACCCACAACAACACCTGATACAGAATCATCGCAATGTGTCTTCGAGACTTGTCCATCTCAAATTCCACTCGCCGAACTGCAGATGAGACTGGCATTGTATAAACCTTCCTAACTATTCATGCAAAATAAAACAACGGGTAATGGTTCAAATGAACCACAGTTCAGAGCTGCGTGTTTATTATTGCGTTTTGGTCCCCAAGGCACGCGTCAAGTCATACTTTATTCACTTTATGTGTGTTCAATAACAGTGGTGGGCATCCCCGAAATGGTTGATCAACCAGTTATCCGAAAACGTTTTCCCGACAACCGATTGCAGTATCAATCGTAGATTCTAATAGTTATTTGAAACAGATGAACCGGGTTTGATAAAGATAAAGTCATGAGAAATCTCACTGCCAAAGAAAATTGTGCTGGTTCGGATCCGTGCCCACCAACCACAGAAATAGATTTCGACAGGATGATTCGAGGATACTCAGATCTCGATTTCCACAGTAGTGGTGTGCAATTTCCGGATATACGTATGTGCAGTATGATGGACCGTTCCATATCGTTTTGACCTCCACTATCTTCCCTCACAGCCAAGTCCTTTCCCGGACCTTGTTGCTATCTTGTCAGGTAGATTTTCTGCCTCTAATTCAGCGGAGGTTATTTATCAGTTGGGAATTCGTACAATATTCCTGTTGAAGTTCGTGTACTGATGTTTGTTCCATCGCGGCCGTTCCCAGTGGTGGCCTAATTCAAACGCTAAACATTTCAAGTGGCATGAATTCTCGTCTGTGCCTGCGGTCCATTGTTGCACCTGTCCCACCAGGTCGAAGGAGCCGTTATACCGTCAAACTGCTCGTAAAGCATTATACAAACGGGGTTTGGAGATTTCCCTATCCGCCAGTCTAGATTAACCACATGAAACCAGTACCTGGTCTAAAATATGCATAAGAGAAGAATGGATACTTTTTGCCATATTCAATTCACTGTGGCTCACAGTGTGGTCTTTATTTGTAAGAGATATGAATAAGGCAATGCCATGTACGAATAAGCACACGGATTTGGTACCGAGTTCAAGACGGAGGAAACGAACTTTGGGGACAGGGGGTAACAGCGAAGCGGTAATCAAGACAGGCTGCGTTCATCAGTCTCTCCGGAGGAAAAAAGTTAGTGGAAGCATTCGAACTAGTCATACTATGGTTTTAACATCTATATTCCCCATCTAAGTTGGTCGTATTCTGACCCTTTTGACAACTGGTATAATTAAAATCTGTTCAACATAAAGCATCAATCGCTTTGAGGAAATTCATCATCATTCATCGTCATCACAGCTTACATTTGTTGTCTAACAGAACTCGAAACGTGTCCGTATGATCGTGTCCGGCGACAATCGTGCCAATCACATCCGCGTACATGCGCGTGATCTCAATCAGACGATCATTGTAAGACTTGAGCAAATGCAACTGAGCATCAGATTGAAATTCATTAATCCCCGGTGCAATATGTGTGGCAATAATCACCTGATTTGTTTGGGTTTTTCAGATGGTAGGATAGGGTGGGTCAGATTCGAATGGAAAATGAGATAGTTTATTCGCGGGATGAAGAAAATGAGGCATTTTCAACAAGTTTGCACGATTTCTTAATTCTATAAACTGTAGTACATACAAAGTATATATATATATATATATAGGGAGGACATGATTCGTATTTTCTTAAAACGCTTCCTTTCCTCTGAGGATATATGATGATCTAGGCAGATTGTGCCAACCGATTCGAGACAGTGCAGACAGAAGCAGAATTGTGCAATCAGTATAGCAATACGATTGGTGAAAGCCTAGATAACCATTGATCTTCTTTTTACATGTTATTTACTCGCTTTCATTTCTTCCATTCTTGTGGCCTTTTCCTAGCGTCTCGTTCCCGTGGGATATTGCGAGCTCGTGCCATTGCGGTCCGGTGCTTCCGTAATCCGGTCCTTGNCCTGTGCTTCCTAATGCGTGGTTTGTGTTCCGAGTTCCCTGTGTATTACTACTATTACTAATTCTACAATCATTACAGTACGCATGCCTTTGCCACCAGCAAAACGGGCATAAAGAAATGATTCTCACCAAGTATCTGGCGGAGAATCAATTTCCAGGGTAGTGGTGTTTCACAAAGGGATGCGTACCTGTTGCTGAAAAATGGACGGGTAACTGAAAATGAATATAGTTCTAAGTCCGTGCAAAACAGGCTACGGTATACCTTCGCTGCAACAGTGCAACATGTGGTGAGAGCTCAAATCATGTAGCAGCTCAATCCATTCGGAGTCACGCCACTGGTCGGTCTCCTTATCGACCTTAACAGTATTGAAACGCCTTATGATTACTGATCACCCT